GATACGGAACATGCTGGTTCTGTTGTGCCTTGGGGCTCATACTTAAACCCTCGCAGGCAGTCGCACAGCGACTAGTGATATACGTAGTTAAGGTGATACCAACAAATACAAGGGAGACCGGAATGGCCTTTTCTGGCTTATTGGCCGTCATCAGCCAGTCATACCCAACCCCAAGTGTGGATCTCTTGAGATTCGAACCCGGGATCCTTGGTCATGGAGTTTGACGCTCTACAATTGAGCCACGGGCCCGTTGTCCTGTCGGTTGTGATCGGAGAGACATTTGTACATAAATGTGAACTCCGCACACCACATGATAAATGTCCCGCTGAAGGGACGTGATGAAACGCCTGCAGCGAGGCTGGCGGAGCGAGAGTCATCTTCATCAACACTGGATGACTGACCGATTCGGATCATTCACTAGTGCGTATAAAAGAAATATTGACCAGGGACAACACAGCGGAATCCACTTTCACGACGCCGCTGCGAATGTCCCAGTATAGACAATCGGATGCGCTTTTAAACAGCCAGGACGCTCTAAAACCCGTGACTTAAAAGGCTGTGAGCTGAGCGTGTAAGTCGGCTCTCCCAGAACAATTAGTCAGCCTTTCTTGATTACTTTTTATGCGCCATTTATGACGCCTCAGACAAACTGTTCTCTTTTGCCGGTCACTGCGCTCAGTCCTACCTCTGTGTAGTCCTGCCTAGGTTTGTCATTGTGCCCAGTCGGGTAGGGGGGGAGGAAGATGGCAGGAGATGTGCAGATCTTTTATCACCAGAAAGTAACTAAACGTGCAGTTATCCGTCCCGGCCGAGCAGTTACTAGACACACGGTGGATATCGCCGTCCGTGACGGTAAACTGGGTCTATGGAAATTTTACGCCCAAGCAGACACTGCGTCAAAGCCTATGGACAATCGTTTTTCCAGGTGTTTCTACGTCCAATTCTTTATCGCCAAATAACATTGATTGTCTTCGGTTTCTCGGCTGAAATGCACGCGAAATATATTGCTAACCGCATAGGGAGAGCGGGCGTATGAGTGAATCAGAAACAACAGCCCAACCTGGTGCTCTTTCTTTGACTAACGAGCATGTAGTGGCTGTGCAGATTTAAAACAACCCAATCATATTTTATCACTAGCTGCTTTATAAACTTGAGTAGTTTCATAAAGGACTAGAAATCAGTCATCTGTACAATTATTACGATACCCTCTTAAGACTGCATAGTTTTGTAGTTTCATCAAAAAATTCATGAAGTTGAAGGGAACCGTTTGATACAGGAATTTATTTGTCAGGCATCCTATTAGAACCCTATTCCGCCAACGTTTCTTTAATTAAATTATTCACTAGTGAGCCGCTTTTCTGAAGTACATTGCAGATAAATGTTTTCGAAAGAAGGTATCGTGTTCCCCACGTAGATGTCATAATAAATGCAATCGTTGTTTCATGTCCGCCTTCGACAGATGGAGGTTTTACTGTTTAGTCAAAGGGCAATTTTGGGATACTTTAAATTAATGCGTATAAGGACAGCCTAACCGAACTGGGTGGTGGCAATCAGTAAGCACATATTGTTTCTAAAATAAAATATGAACGTACAATCACATCATTGACAAACTCAAGTACTGTAAATCGCATATTCTTAGGAAAGACGTCGTTTCATCGATTTCAATCCATGAAAATGTGGTTAATTTTGGTGTTCTCGAACGGTTGCAGCGAAACTGCGATTTCCTGATGTACGACTATCCGGCAAAATGTAAATTAAGCAATTTCCTCCAGCCAGTGTATAGCGAAACGTCTGTTAGTGCGGGGTAGCGAAAAAAGCTGGGCATGATGCTAGTTCGTAGCCGTGCCAGTTAGGGATTAATTTTAGGGGTTAGGGTTAGGAGTTGGGGTATAAGGGTTAGGGGTTGGGTTTAAGGTTAATGGTTAGGCTGGGGCTTGTCTTCTGCAGGCACGGCTATGAAATATGGTCCGACCGAAAATTGATTGAAAGCTTGGGTTGCATCTGGGACGACGAATGGGAGTTCAATCTAGATGGCATGGCCTTTAGGCTTACGTAACTTTTACACGTTTGCCTATTACAATGTTCTCGAAAGCTAACAAGAATGCCTAGGATATGCATCCCAGAGGAATTCTGGCTTAGTGAATGTAGATCCAGTATGTGGGCTAATTAATGAAATGCCAACCGAAATTTCAAAATGCCTTTTCGTTTCGAAAAGGTTAATTGAGTATTGTTGTACAACTCATCGACTTGCAGTACAACTCTTTAATAATTCAGTTATCACAGCATGCTGGCTTTCTAGCGAACTTCCTTCCGGCTACACACAAAAACTATACTCTGTAGAAAATGTGTGCTTAAGTACAGTGCGTGACCGATCTCATGAAATGTTGGCCGAAATTCTGAACCTGGTTTTTAATTTGGATGGATTACATAGGTGATGTTTTAATATTAACGAGCATGCGCCATAATTCTATAGCATTTCCGACTTGCCAGGATGTCGGATTTTACCTTCTAAAATGTTCGTGTATTAACCACTTTGCGGCGCCCTTAACCAAAATTCTCCCTTCAATTATTAGCAATCGAAAATCCTAGGAAGTAGGCAAAAACAGAAAGATCCAGTGTTTATTGTAATATGTTGAATGTAAACCAGCCTGACATTCTCTTTAGATCAAGGCGTGGTAAACATGACATCCGTCATCCAATGTTCCCCTAATACTTCTTGAAGGAATTCTCGAAATCGAGGAATGTCAGTATTGGCGCTGACGCCCCAGGTTTATTGGAGGGTGTTATCGTAATACGGTCAACCCTGCCGTTACCGAACTTTATCTCCATTGTTCGCGGTTTGGTTCCGAGGTGGCCGGTGAAAAGAACAGTATCGAATTTCAACACACCTAAAAAACAAAAGCAGACGTTAAACCGGTTGTATGAGCATGTATATCGTCTAAAACATGCTGTTGGAAACGCTTGAATGTTATGCTATTTATTTACTGCTTTACAATACAGAGTGGGTACGTACCGGTCTTTCCAAATATAGAAATGGCACTATAATCTCTATAAGTAGTTGCAATACTTCCAGTGGCGTTTACATGCTAAAATGTTGGAAAAGCGATATGTTATGGCAAATTTTATACCTATAGAACACAATTTGGGAAAGGAAAATTATTCGCATGGAATAAAAATCTTTTATTTGCCGTAGAGTGTAAATAATGTTAGTAATTTATCGACTGAGATCTGACTCATGACGCACTGTTCACAAGCAGTGGCCATATTTGAATGATATGACAGCAAATCGTATCACTTCATCGCAATCCTTATGCCGAATTTGGCAAAAGTAATATTTCAATCGGGCATATTTGACGTAATTATTTACCCCGATATCCGAACTGGATACTAGAATATGAACGAGAGTTTCATTTTCAAGAATTTCTTTTGCCAAGACAGATCTCGCTGGATAGTTCAGTGCGTCGTCTAAAACGGACATGTTGGCACGTATTCAACTGGTAAGGTGGACCATAAGCGTGGTTAATTTTTGAATGTAGACGAATTCAGTATACACAAATCGAAAATAAAACATTCTCTGTTAGTTAAATGTGTCTAACTGCTTAGCAGCTCCAAGTAAATGTAAACTGCTAGCTGTAGGCTGCGGCCCTAATTTATAAAATGCTGCATTGCTAGAATAGTTTGAAGGGCATGATGCTTTCACTTACATTCTGGAGTGCCAGCCTTTTTATACTGAATGCCAACCGGATATCGGTCAGGGATGTTCGCCGGTTGCACCGTAAATGTTGCGTTGGATCCTTTGAGAAAACCGTATGCGACCAGCAATTTTTCAGCTTGAGAGGAAAATATCGATTGATCATTACGAAATTCACGAGAAAGAAGAAGTGAGTGACTTATATTCTTATCCTCATGTATGATTATCACATAGAGCTGTGTTTTCCCCACTTCAATTTACTGCCAAATCGCCTCACAAAAGATATTTTAAATCCGGTTAGATCATTAATTAACTTAAGCTAACATTTGACAAAAATCGTGAAAATGATCTGAGTTCGTTTTGTTTAGAGAAAAGTGTAGAGGATCAAAAAATGAGCTCCATTTCTTACGTTTAACGATTTCCCAGCAGTCATTTGGCGCGACACAATGAGATCCGTTGCTCGGATTGGAAATTTTCACGCCGTCCACGATCATATGCTATAAACAAGACTTCTGTGTTATTTTATGGACAAAAGTAAATCATTGAACTTCCTATTTGTCAAAACGCACCTCCACATATCCATGCAGCTGTTTCGTGTAGACATAATCGCTGTTCTCTTTAAACTCCAAAGTACTATTGAACTCTGTAATTGTAAACCCAGTGATTAGCATTGGATGCTGATCATCATAAATGATGCAAATTTAATCTCACATGAGATAAAGAAAAGTAGCGAAATTCTACGTGTTTTGAAAATCCAAGTTTGTAAGACTTCACCTTGTCCAAAAGCGCTGCACACAACTGCGAGTAATATAATTTGGCGGAACATATCCAATTGACCACACATGTATGAGTTTTTAACCCACAATTTATAAACACCACAATAGCCAATCGTTGTACTTGAAACAGGGATTGGTTAATTGCCTTGTGCGTTGCAAAATTAGGACCGTGTGAAAATATCCACTGATTGACTGTTTAATCCCAAACAATCGCATCAAATAAATTATTAACATGAAAGATGTCTCACTAGGCAATACCGACCAGAATTTCCGGCATAGTGGCACAGGCAGGTGTGAACACAGCCAGAATAGCAAGAAGGTATTTGTTTCAAATGTGGACATGTTGTCTTTCATTCACGAAGACCATACTTGCGTGAAAGCCTACCGATTTTTCAAACTTAGCAGTTTTGTTAGGTAAATGAACAAATAAGAGAGGTGAATCAGGCCGTGTCAAGTAAAATCGCTTTTTCATCTAATGTCCTCTTGAGGATGGGGGAAATACCGTCAGAGTAGGTTTGTTGCTTGACCATGTCTGATCGAGTTTCATTAAGATTTATAGTGCTAATAATTTTACTGACCAAAATTCATGATTCCGAAGTAGTTTATGGACCACTTGACGGGAGAAACAATGCTTTGTAGGAAAACATGCATCGTACAGGAAACACTGCTTGAATACGGTGACTAATGCCGCTTATCTCAAATTCGAAACCTCCCACGGACGTGCACAATGCAGAACAAATTTGATGATCTCAATTTTGATATGTTGGCCATGACTGAGGGAGTATGTTTTGCGCTGATTGGGCACGTCAGAAATACAAATTTCAATAAGCGGCAGGATCAACTGACTACTTGCCCTCATTTTATATTCACCGATAAATATTCGATTTGCCTGATGAATGCAGACTATATATGCGCTTGGATGGCTTTATCAGTCATTCAGTGCAGAGTCAACCAACCCGCTGATGTTAATTGACTAACGATTATAGACACAGTTTGCCATAAAAAAAACAATCAAACAGCCACAAGCGATGGCCACAACACAAAATGACCATGAAAAACATGCTCTTTTGTTGATCATCACGGGGGAGGTAATTAAAAGTAAATTAAATGTAAATTTTTAAGCATATTTTAGGACAAGAAGACAAACTATACGCAGCATTCCGTTCATGTTTACAGAATAGGCAGTGTTATTTTAAAAGACAATTATCGACAGTAAAAATAATTTCTATTTAAAAAAGGAAACTAATCAAGGTGATTTGACTAGTTTTAAGGGAATACAAAATTTCGCTCAGGAATGGTCAGACACGTGAGTCGGGAAAAGTGGCCTGCATGTTTTAGTGTACAAGTGGTTCGAAACGGACATCTACAAGACATAATTCCCAAAGGAATTAACAATATCCGCATCAAAGTGGCGGGAAGAGAGGGGTCCAGATGCGATCAATCACAGTCCGCTTAGAGTCCAGCCGTGAAGGGAACATAATAGGCTGAGGCCTGTAGAAGCGTACAGGCGAGTTCCAGGAAGCAGTTCGTAAGAAGAAGATGCGATGACTAGAACAAGAGGTTTCATGGGCTGGCGTTTCAGATCATCACACGAACTAATCACCAGAGACGGAGACAAATAAAGGACTACCGTCTGCGACCGTCTCTGATGACGTGTTCGTGTGTGAATACGAGACGCCAGGTTAGTAATCTTCTTGTTTCAATGATTCCGTTTTCTTCTTTTCATGACTGAGGCGTTCATCAAAGCGTAATGGGAAATGCGACACTAAGCCCTCTTTTCTGACTCACCTAACCACTACCAGGCGGCAAAAAGGAGATTTAACCAAAATTGTCAATAGACCGCTTGATAACGGGATAAAGAGAGGACATCAAAGACCGCGAAATCGCCGATAAGGGGATAAGATCATGTAATCCCAGAGGCTAGAAGGGATTCCTGATAGGGGTTGGCGATCAGCACAACGTAGGCGGCGTAAACCCTGCACGTGAGACTGCCCCCCCCCCTACTTATTTGAGTGGATTTATCAGGCAGGACATTACATGCCGTGGAGGAAACGAGGCATGGACTGAAAGATCGGAAAAATAATCGAAATTTCTCATGAGAGATCGAAGAAAACAAAACCACACAGAGAGAAGGGAATATTAGCGATACGGCAATTTGGTGGCGGCATCCTCAATCCCTGATTGCCCTTTCTAAATGACACTTGTCCGTAAGAAATGAGGAAACTAGAAGTTTCATCGAGTCAGTATTCAGATAAAGGCGCAGCCTTCTCTTTGAAGTATGCAGATTATCTAATGATCATGTATCAAGTGAATGAATACTTCAAAGGAAAGCATACCTCAATACGAAGAAAAGGGAGCGCTTATAAATGGATGATACGGGAGAAGTATAAAGAAGGAGGACTAACAAGGATTTAATGGGCGACTTACAGGTGTAAGGGCTGAAATACAAGGAAGATTTGAACTATCGTCGATGCAAAAGAGGAGACAGAAGTCTGCTCTTAGTTGTCTAACACAGGTAAATTGTGGGTAAGTCAACTGGAATGTATACGAGCAGAAAGAATGTGTTGTGCCGGGCTTAACAGTCTTCTAGTAAAACGTCTTTGAGATTAAGAGGGGTTCTTAAAGCTACTTTCGTAACATTTTTTAAGAAAGTGTGGGACGGCAAAAGAAGTGGCATGCGATTCGGACGTTCGTAGTGAAATTAAATCGACAAGAACTGCTACGCATAGCGATAAATTGTAACAAAATTTGCATCATTGTTTGGAATAAGAAATAAGAAGACGACATCAAGTCCGAGAAAAATAATCGATTTGGGGGCGACAGCGCGAAATCTCATGGGCCAGAATGGATTCCTGACGAGGGCAGCAAAATAGCGAAACAAAGGCGAGCCGGTAAGCGCACGTTAACAAGACTCCGCTACTACCCTGAAAAGAGTTTCCAGAAGGGACATCACGTCCTGTGAAGTACAAAATGCATGCATTAAAAATGGTAATTTGAAATTTTTCATGAGAGAGCCATGAAAAGATACCACACACAAAGAAGGAAAAGTGGGCAGATACTGTTATTTTGTGGCGTTGTCCTGAACTCCCGATGGCATTTTCTCGATATCGGTAAGGGTGAGGGAGAAAATCTTGATGATGTAAGTATTTAAGATAAAGGCGCATCCTTCTCATAGAATTATGAAGGTAACTAGATGGTCAAACATCTACTGGAAGGATATTCCAAATAAAAGTACACCTGGATGCGAAGAGCGTGGAGCGCGCATAAGTTAAGAATGCGTGAGGAGACTTAATCAGGTAGGGATTACGAGGATTATAAGAGCGAATGACAAGGGTTAGGGGAGAAATACAATGAAGATTTCAACTATGATTAGTGTGAGATAGGTGAGCTTGCTTTTAGTATGCAGACAAAGGGGAAGTTTCTGTTAATTATATGACGTCTTTCCAAATAAGAAATGGTTGGATTTGTCATTCTTAAAAAGTCTTCTAGTAAAGTGTCGCTGACAATTTTTTTTTATTTTTGGGCGACAAGTCTTTTTCATCAAACCACAGAATGGACAGCGATACTCAAGACTGGCAAGTAAAAAACATTCAATAGAGCATTAATTTAAGTTCCCGAAGATAGAAATCGTGACAAATACGGCCACAAACCTGGGCAACTTTGGCCGCAATTTTGTAGGTGTATGTTGACAAATCTAGATTACTGGTGTTACTTTGAACTAAGCCCTTGTTGGGGGCACGCCTGGCCATCGGAATGCCTTGGAAAACCACTGGTTGGGGCAGACTTCCCGGTCCAAAACAAATACAGTCACAGAAATGTGATTGCACGAAGGGAATTCCACTGGCTATTTTGGGCTCCACGCTGACAGGGCAGGCAAGTCAGTATGGATTTGATATAGGCAATATTGCGTCGTAGATTGAATGAATGGATACATGCATTTGAGGTCTGGTGCGGAAAATCAAAAATGAAATTATGTAATATCTCCCACTACAGGCGATCTCACGCTTAATTTCAGTGCGGTTGAGGTTCTGTTTATGAATAGTACTATGAGGGTAAGCCTAATGTCGGGGTTATGGTTGAGGTTAGGACTATCCGTATCACAGTTCGTCATTTTAGCTAGGATGTTCAACAGTAGGGTTAGGATTAATTTGGCTACTCCGCACGGTATTTCGCGATCGGCTTGGATGGACCTTGTAGTCGTGTCCAACAAGAGAGAAGATACACGAGAGAGAGGACGGAAAAGAGTGCAGATTACGCAAAAGAGAACTAACCAACAGCCGCATCGTGCAGAAAACGACGAAAATGTCGATGACATTGAGTTATTACGCAGGAAACTAGAATGTCTAGGGAAAGGAGTTAATAGACATTAACACTCAGAATATTGGGAGGCGGTGAGTTATTAGGGTGCTACAAGGATCTGAAGTAGACAGAGCTGGATGCGAGAGCCTGCATTCAACGACATACTAAGCAAGTGAGAAAGAAAGCATCTATAGAATTGTAGAGAATATTGCGAAAGAAGGATGAAAATCTGTTACTGGACTAATTTCATAGCAGTTGACCATCAGAAGCCTTTAAAAGAAACGTCCGCAGGACGTAGAAGAAACTAGCAACAGTGTGTTTCCATGTCAGCTGAAAAATAAAACCATCTGGACATCGGCCCTAGTATGCGATGTAAGCACTAAAGATACCGTTGTCGAAGAGACACACAGTCCGGATATTTAGGATTTGGGACACCACATACAGGTAAATCTAAGCAAATATGGACCGTAGTAATAAGGGTTTATTGTACAGCAGGTCGTAGCATTATCAGATCAGCAGCATGTGATCACAGGTCTAAGAGATGCATCTCGGTGTGAAACCTCCTGCAGAAAAGAGCGTAGGCAGCTGTTTGGCTAGGCATGATGTGTTCGCAGCAAGTCACACGTTGTCTAGAGTAGGCTGCAGGATGTGGAAAACACGCTGGCTGTTTTGCTCCCAGTGCAAGGGGAACAAAGCATATCGTTTCCCCCACAAAAGACCACGTTCTTGATGATTATTGCATTGAAAATGC